GCAGAAAACTGGCAAATTTGAGCCCCAGCAGGCTGGACTAGGGCCTCTGTCTGCCCAGACTATTGGGAAAAGCTGGGGAGCAAAATCCCTCAACACATTCTTTCCTCTCTGGACCCCATTTCCCCAGAGAAATTGCATGACCTGAGGGAACCCCCTTCTGGCAGCAAGCCCAGGGTGCTTCCCTTTCTCCAGGCTTGCCTACCTCCTCCTGGCTGCTACCCTCCCCCTCCTCGAGACGCCTGCAGGAAGAAGCAGTGCCTGGAAAAAACGTTCTCACCACGAGGGAGCTCCTTGTGGCTGGAGAGAAAGACAGAGGGAAAAAGGAGCACCTTCCTAGCTGGCCGCAGCAGAGGCTGCGTTCCAGGAAGAGCGAAAGCAAGGCTGCCAGGGAAGTCTCAGGCTGGGTCCACTCCTCCCCACCAGCCCCACAAACCGCAGCAGCAAATGCTTCCCGCAGGGAGACCCCCACCTCCACCCAGCAAAACCTCAGCTCTTCCCTGACATGTGGCAACTTTCTTATATAATGCCTGGATGCTGCCCCCACCGGTGCTCTATTACAACAGTGAAAGGGCCAAGGTGATCCTTGGAAGGATAACTCCAAACCTCCATCCTGGTCACACTGAGAGGCCCAGGTGAAGCAAAGACAAGGGGACTTTTTCCTTGACTGAGAAAGCAACCTTCCTCCTGCCCACGCCCACGTGACCAGTTCAGCCTGGGGCCTGGGCGGGTAGGTTCCCCAGAGCACAAACTGATCTCTGGGAAACTGAGCCCTTAACCCTTATCTGCAGGGACAGAGTCCCTTGCTAAGGCACAAATGTGCCAGTGACTAGGCTCATCTAGCCGGTAGTGGGTCACAAACTTGTGCCCAGGGCCGTGGAAGTTAGAAAACAAGCTTCATTTGCATAAGCACAGGACACTGCTTTCCTACCATAAGCAGGACATCCTTCTTTTCCTGTTCCCTGGTAGGAGCAAAAAGCAACAGCAGCTGGACCAGGAGCTAATGAAATGATAGCCACCATTGGCTGAGTTCCTACTATGTGCCAGTCGCTTTATACACATGATCTTGTTTAGTTTTCACGGAAATCCTGTGAAATACTACATCCTTCCCATTTTACGCGGAAGGAAACTGAGGCTCAGGAAGTTAAGCAATGCCCAAAGCACACTGCAAATAAAAAAGGTGGAGTATGAACCTGAGCCTGAGCAGGTCTCATTCCCCTATACCTACCAGACTTCCTGCAGTGTCCCTGCCAGGGTAACTGGCCACACACCATCAAGAACGGTATTCTAAGTGTGGGGGTAGAAGTGGGTGTTGACAAGTTTTGCTTGATGGCTCTGGAATCTGAACTGATGCCCCTACTAACTATTATTGCTTCCAAGTGTGTTACTGTGAGAGTAAATGTGCGTTGTGCTGGGGTGGAGGGAGGGTGATCTGGATTCCAAAGAGCAGTTTCCAGCACTAAAGTTATGCTGTAATGCTTCTGATTCATAAAATGAGCTCACAGTCTCATAGTACCCTGAATGTTGCTTTGAATGCAAATGCGGATCCCTTAGTAAGAGTTGGGATTTCAGTAGGCTCCACCTAGCCCCAGCCCATCGAACAATTTCCTTCAGCCCCACACATTCAGAGTACTAATAGCAAAAGCAATATCTTCGACCAAATACAACCACTGGCTGCATTTCCTGCAGCCTGCAGTGAACCAGGGAAGGAGCTGCTGCAGCTGTTCCTGCACCAGGGCATGTGCACACAGGAGGGTGCCAACCTAGCCTGGCAGAAGGAAATATGCAGGTTAACAGATACCAGGGCAGGAGGCTCCACAACTTTCACTCTTTTCCTTTCAGTAAGGATGAGGAGAGGTTCTAGAAGACCAGCTTCAGGGCACTGCCAGAAAACTGGGTTCATCAACACCACAATCATTCATAGGAGACTGATCCTTTTGAAACTAATGACACAGTATAAAGAGGTCCCAGCAGCAGAAACTCATTGTGCCTTCCACATGCCAAGTCCACATTTTTTTCTTTATTTTTCTTTCTTTATTTATTTTGTAGTATTGGGAATTAAACCCCATTCAGGGCCTCGTGCAAGCACCCTATCACTGAGCTACATCCTCAGCCCTTTTTATTTTACTTTGAGACACAGTCTTGCTAAGTTGCTGAGGCCGCTCTCAAACTTTGATCCTCCAGCCTCAGCTTCTCGAGTAGCTGAGATTACAGGTGTCCACCACTGTTCACTCATTCAACTTACTTCAACAAGTAAGGTACAACACACCTACTGGATGCCAGGCACTGGGGAACAACAAAGAACTTACACTGGAACAGAGACTACAATTCCCAAACACTCAGAGCCCTCACAGCAACTCTGCAAAAGGAGATATGAAAACTAGCCTGAGTCTATAATTTTGACTACCACACTGCAGTACGTGCACAAATAACTACGTAAGATGACAAAGGTAAGACCTTCTCCTGAACACTCATTGTCATAAGACCTAAGAAGTGGCATTTGAAACCGAACTAGAAGGAAAAGCAAGAGTATCCCAGCCACTTGTGGCCACTCCCTCTTCACCATGAGCGAGGTTTTCTTCTTGGAGACCCAACTACAAGAGAGGGGCTATCAAGGCTAAAAATTCCTGACCCAGGCCCATTCACCTTCTAAGACACACACCATGCACACACACCCAATCACCCTCCCACTCCCCTCTTGCTCCAGAAGTCTTGGCTCCACTGAGCAACCTTTCCTGGGTCTTTTTTTTTTTTTTAAGAGAGAGAGAGAATTTTTAATATTTATTTATTTTTTAGTTTTCGGCGGACACAACATCTTTGTTTGTATGTGGTGTTGAGGATCAAACCCGGGCCGCACGCATGCCAGGCCTACGAGATACCGCTTGAGCCACATCCCCAGCCCCTTTCCTGGGTCTTAAAACCACAGGAGGCCCTCAATTGCAGCTATACTGCATGTTGTCTTTTTTTTCCATTTATTAAAAGCAGGAGGCCAAGGGGTCAAACATGGGGCTATTTTTAAATCCATGTTTAAAGTTAAGCTCTCATCCCTGTGGGCACTCTGGAGTAGGCTGACAGAGCCAGGGAGAGTCCGAGTTCTGCCTGATGCTGATGCGTGGAGAGGCCACACTGGAAGTAGACAGGGCTGCCCCAGAGCAAACTGTATAAACTGGGGGGTCATCCTCAAGGTTCTTCACCTCCTTGTCCCCTGGGCACTACATAGACCAGAGAAACAGCCAGAGGCCAATCCAGTTAGAGTGGAGACTGGACTAGAGCCATGTAATGAGAGGTTTATGAATGTTTATACCGGTATTATTCACTGTACAGAACAGGAGAAAAAGAGGACCCATATATTCTCAACCTGGGAAAGTTCATCCCCTCCCTTTGGTTCTGAAGCCATCTAACACCTGTGGGAAGGGTGCATTTCTCTGATTCTAAAGGGGCAAGCAGCACACCTTCCCAGGCAGCCTCTGGAGGAGGATCAGTGGTCTCTCCCCTCAATCCAGGATCCCAAGGTACAAGTGGCTTCTTAGAGCTGCAAATTCTTCCACCTTCACCAAGACCTCCCTCAGTTCTGAAGGTAGATAATACCTTCAGGCTAGGTAGGCTCCCTCTGCTGTAGGAAGCCAGACACCCTCTCCCCTCCCCAGCCACAGCTGCCAACAGGGATGGGGCACACACGTGCCACAGCAGCCTCCATGGCCAGCCAGGACCAGCCAGCACTCTCCCACTCTCCAGTGAGCTCCACATGCTGGCGTCCAACACAGGATGGTAGAGGCAGGAAGTAGCCACCGAAGTTGTGGCCAACAGAGTCTTAAATGGGGCAAGTAACTTCCCCTTTCATCCTTCCAGCAGCTAGAGGATGAGCAGGTACGCTCAGTGGCCTCCCCTTTGGGTGGCAAGCACCTCCTTCAGGTCTGCTTGGGGCTGAGGCTTGAAAGCTCTAGGGTGCACCAGGCTCCTCAGCCTCCAGTCAGCTTTTACCCAGAGTGGGTGGGGGCCCAGGAGGAGCAACCTGGTGCTCATGCTCCTGTGTGAATGCGCTCTCTCTCTCTCTCTCTCTCTCTCTCTCTCTCTCTCTCTCTCTYTTTTTTTTTTTTTTTTTTTTTTGGTGGTGGTGGTGAGGTGATTAACTCCACGGAGCCAGCCATATGCAGGGCCCAAAGGAACCTGGACTCCGGCGTTCCCGACAAACACCCCGGATCACAGCACCTGGGCAGGCGCCGCGCGGGCTCCGAGGGCCGCTGCGGCGCGGGCGTGCGGGGGCGGGCAAGGCAGATGACAGGTCTGAGGTGCGCCAGCAGCGCCAGGGTGCGCGGGGTGAGGCGGCTCTGCGCTCGCCCGCCTGCCCGCCCGCGCTCAACGCTCCAGTCTAGGCCTCTAGTACACTTGCTCCAGTTCCCTTCCTCCTGTGCACCTCTGCCCTCCAGAGTCCCGGCGCCGACACAGTGCCCCAGCCCACTTTCCCGAGCATGCTGGAAAGGAAAAGGGCTTCAGCGCCAAGTTTCCGCAGCTCGCCAGCCCCTCGCCGCGTCTCCGGGGCCTGAGCTCCGTCACGCCAGCCGGTCCCTAAGGACACCACGTTTCGCTCGGGCAGAGGAGGAGCAGTCGTGTTCCTGAGCCGCCGCCGCCGCCGCCGCGGGCTGGGAGGCTTGGAGGGTTTTCCTGCCGGGGCCGCGCCCGGGTGGGCGGGGGCCGCGCGCGAGCTGCGTAGCTGCACAAACACCGTGGGGTTGCGCTGCACACGCAGCTGCGGGCGCAGGGTGCGGGCCGCGCGGGAGTGGACTGCGGGCAGCCCACGCGCGTTCATACGCACCAGCTCCCACCGCCGCCCAGGCCTTAGAAGTTGGCGCGTGGCGGCCCCGGTGTCCCCGCACCCGGGCTCCGGGCCGCGCCTGCAGAGCTGCAGCCCGTGGAGCGAGTAGCCACCGTTTGCGCGCCGCCAGGGTCTCCTAGCTGCCCCCGCCGCGTGCAGGCCTCGGCCGCCTGCTGTGTAGCCCACTTACCCCGCTCCTGCCTGAGCTCGGGCCTCTGCTGTCCCCCTTCCGCCGCGGGCCGCAGCCTTCGGTCGCCTCCTGGACTCCGGCCGCTTGCACGCACTCTCCGATTTTAAAAACAAACAGGCGCCGTCGCCTCCCCGCGGTATTCGCAGGTCTTCCACCAGCCAGCGCCTCCCAAAGCTGGGAAGTTTGCTGGCAGGGCCCGGGCGGGACGCGTGGGCTGTCACCCCCCGCTTGCGGCGCAGGAACCTCGGCGCGCCCCGCGCGGGTACTGTCCACCTCGCGAGCGCTCTTCCCTCCCTCTGTGTCACCCCCAGTCCTGCGATGCAGTGTCAGGATTGCACGGCTCTGACTCATCGGTTGAGCTCACAGCTTGAAAAAAAGAGAGAGAGAGAGAGAGAGAGAGAGAGAGAGAGAGAGAGAGAGAGAGAGAGAGAGAGAGGGCGAGAGGCAACAGCGAAGGAGGACTCTGGCGTGCTACAAAGGATTGCACAACTCGAGGCTGGGAGCGCTGAGCGCCCAGCGGCCGGCCGGCGCGCGCCGCACCGCGGCGAGCAGGAACCAGCTCTACCACTTCATCAGCACAACTGTCTCCGGGCAGCCTCTCCGCCAGCAGGCCCAGCGCCGCCCACTTCCTGCAACCAAATAAGGCCGAGGAAGGCGTCTTTAAACCTCCGGCGGCTGCCGGGGCTGGGGATTTCCAGCAGACCTCACCTCCACTACGGAGTCGGTGGCCACCCTCCCCCATCTCAGGCCGGCGCCCCCGATGGCTTAGCTGGAACTAACAGGCCACGCGGCTCGTTCCTTGCACACCAAGGTCAGGAAGAGACGGTGACGAAATGTTTGGAAACCCATCAAGCCTGCCAGGAAACTGTGTGTGATGTTGGGGAGGGCACAAGTCGCTTTCTTCCACAAAAGAAAACTCTGGCTTTGGATACGGTAAATGGTGCACAGTCCTCTCCAAGACACTTCATTAACAGCCTCCCTGAGTGTCACTTTCTGGCCCACCGGCATCCACCAGCCTCCCAATGGTATCAGGGTTATGGAGAAATGGGCCCCACGAAGGACCCACAAGGCCATTACTTAGGTGATGAAAAGCTCCTGGGTTGAATTCTAGGCCAGGTTGGGAAACTTTTCTCTCCAGGCGCACATTTCTCCCTGCCTTCTCTAAATATCCCCCTGATAATTTTCTGGTCCAAGCCCTGTTGCTTGTTTGCTTGACTGGAGGGAAGATGGGAAACAACTGCAGCAGAGCAGGAGGTCTTGCAGGACCAGAGGAAACTCAGGGGAAAGTGCTCTGTTTTTCCTTCCATGATTTTGGTGTTTTGTTATTTTTTTAAGGAGATGAGTCAAAAAGAGAATTTCCTTTGAAGGAAAAACCATCGAAGAATGAATATACTGTTTTGGTAGTTACTTTTCCCTGTGGCCCATCCTAAGAGTCTGATGCATCCCTTGTCTTCTTAGAAGAGCAGAATATGATTCTCTCACACGCCCTGAGCCTACAGGACCTGGACTTTCACACTCCCCATCCCCCACACTCCCATACCTCCCACCCCTCCTAGGGAGTGGATGCCAACATGAGGACCTTCTACTTAGAAACCCTGCAAAACCTACACTAGTTCCTAAGGGGTAGGTCTCTCCCTCCTCTTCTACAGCTTTGCTGGCTGGCTTACCTGTTATGCACCAGGAAGTCACACCTCACTCAGAGGAAAAGGGCTTATTTGTCCCATGTCAGATATGTCAAAGTAATGACCACTTAAAATAATCTTATCTACAAAATACCAGTAATTATGCCAAGGGACTAGATCCGATGACCTCTTAAAATGCCATCAAATTTAAGATCCATCTTTCTACATTTGTAAAAAGTGAATGGAGGAGCCAGGGAAACCACCTTCTACAGAAAAAAGCCCAGGCTCCCAGATTTAGCATCCAAGATGACTGTATTGCTCCTGACAAGTCTCACAGCATTTCCCATACAGCCTACTGAACAAGGCTGTGTGTGAGAGAGCTGTATCCCTCTTATTCTGTGCATGAGGACTCAGGTTCAGAAAGGTTATGTGCATTGCACGAGGTCACAAGGCAAGCCAGTTATCTGTCACTTCTCTGCTCTTCTTCCAATCTCCCACAGAGTAAGGTAGCAAGCAATCAAGGGACTAAGGTACTCAGGCATGTAGCCTGGCCTTACCCCCAGTAGAGGCTAGACTCTCAGAAACTCAGTGTAAAAAGCCTTTTTGCTCTTTCTATTTGCCAGTTTCTTCCCTCCCACTGGCAACTCATCCAAGTGAAGGAAACAAAAGCCAAACCTCTTGGCCTCCAGTGCCCACTGCTGCCAGGTTCTTCTGCAGAACTGCAGCCATCCTGACCTCCCCTGAGGGCCCACCCCTGCAACTGGCTTGGGGCCAGCCTAGAGGAAGCCCCAGAGAGCAAGCATAGACCAGCCCAGGGACATTCCCAACTAACAAGAAAACCCAGCTGGGAGCACATTCTTAGAAGAGCCTCCACCATGCGCCAGGGCCCAGCCTCCAGGAAAGAAGTGGGAGCCACTCCAAAGGACACTCCCCAGCTCTGTCCTGCAAGGACTTCCTCCCTGTCCCACACTGGGCTGCCTGATCCAGGAACAGCATGGGGAGTGGACGCAAGAGATACAGAAAAGTCAGTTACCCTGAAGGAACCCTGCTCACCTTGGCGCAGCACAACCTTTCGTTCAGACTAAACTTCCAAATTTGGGCCATCTCAGAGAGAGGAAAGGGGGCACATGGGTGCTCAGGAAAGGAGGACTCAGAGACTATTCCCTGCTTGGCAGGAGGAGAAGTCTATAGCCACAGCAGGCAGAAGAGGATGTGCAAAGAAAGCTGCGGCCTTTCCGGGAAAGACCTGCAGGTCAGTCTTGCTGCAGATATGACAATGCAGAATCACTGACATGTGAAGTGAAAGTTTTGGTTTTAGAAGCTCTAGCACCTCCTTCAAGCCTCTGGGACAACTAAGAAGGTGACCTTTTGAGGTTGGGGGTGGGGAGGTTTTCTTTAGACTTTACCCATAGAGTGATATTTTCCCTACCGTCCCTTCTTCACACAGCATGGGAAAGAGAGGAGTACTGAGCTCCAGTTCCTGGGAGGTAATTGTTGAGAAAGAAACACTCCAGGAAGCAAAGGACCTTGGACAAGTTTTCAAACTCCAGGTTCCAGTGAGGGTAGAGTTTTATTTCAGAGGCTTCCTAGTATCGCATTGGCTCTCTGCTCTGGATTCTGTTCGGAGTGGCCTAGCACTGCGCTGCATAGTCCTCCCCCTATGTCCAGACCATTAAAATCTTCCAAAGGTAAATTTTATGGTATATCAATTATATCTCAATAAAGCTGTTGAAAAATAAAAGCTTCCAAGGAAGCCAGGATCTCAACACCACCCCGACCTGCCCCAGGCCTGCATGCCTTTTTCCACTGTCCCTTCTCTGCTAGGATCTTTCCATCTAGGCCAGCACATGTAGTGTGGTAAGTGCTTAAACTTTAGAGTGTGAGGAATCAGGGGAACAAATACCGTTGAGGGCATCACAAAATGCCAGGTTTCATATTGTGTTCCTACTGTCAATTCCCTTTGCAGAATAAAGGTCCTACCTCCAGGACGTCATTGCCTACAGTTATAACAGAAGAAAGAGAAAGTTGTAAAAATAATAAGGAACCAGGACTGAGGTTGGGTCTTGTCTAACTAAAATAAACCTACTGCATGATCTTAGGAAAGTTGCCGCTAACCTTCTCTGAGCTTCACTTTTTTTTTTTTTTGGCTCCCAATAGATGTGCCATGTTGGTTGCATGAACGAGGAAAGAGTGCCCAAGTTCAAGGGGCCTGAAAGGATCAACTGGACAAAAGAGTGTTTTACAACTGCAGCATGCTATGTAAGCATAGGGGCTTATACCTGTTATTCTTAACTATTTTACCCTAAAGTTCCTTCTCCCAAAAAAGCTTCTCCCTTTCCAGGCAAGATTTTTTTTTTCCTCCTGAAAAGACCCCACTGAGTGATACCTCTGTTAGGAACCTCTGTTGGGATCTGCCCAGGGAAACGTTTTCCAGCATTTATTCAGTGTCCCATTTGAGGTATTCCTCCAAGGCCACCCTTCGTTTCCTTTCCACCACTCTTTCCCACAGTGCTGTCACCACTCTGACGCCTGTACCTTCCCCTCACCCCTTCTTTCTTTTTTTAAAAAATATTTTTTTAGTTGTAGATACACACAATACCTTTCTTTTATTTATTTATTTTTAGGTGGTGCTGGGGATCAAACCCAGTGCCCGCTGCGTGCTAATGCTCTACCACTGAGATACAACCCCAGCACCTCCTCACCCTTCTTACCTGGTCCTTTGAGGAAGCAGAGAGCTCAAAACCACCCCAGGCACTCAGTTAAGCCATTGTATATTGAGATGTCACTGTTCTCTCTAATACCCTGGAAACCCCAGGGGACCCCCTCTCAGCTCACACTTACTTCACCTGTTCTGGGGCAGGGCCATGCCTGCCACACCAGCCCACAGCTGTCTGCATCTCTCGACCCTCCCACCTGCCCCTCCCTGGCCTCCTTCCCCTACAGGCCTGGGCCAGGTTCTGAGTGCCTTTGTCAGCCCTGAGAGGGAACTTCTGTAGATGTTCCCAGTTGCTGCTGTCACTCTGGGAGAGACGTCTGGCTTGGTGGAGGGAGAAGGACAAAACAGGTGTGGCTGCCAGGGAGGGCACGGAACAGAAACACTCTTCTTCACAGAGGGAGAGCTGCCAGCTTCCCTGAGCCTTGACTTCAGCACAGTCCCACATTCCCTGCAGAAGGAGCCCTGGACCCTCACTGACTGTCCTCTGGTGCCTGGCTTCCCTATTTTGTGGCAGTGATCCAGGAGAAATGGGATCCCCAGAGATAAAATGAGTGCCATGGGGCATGCTTTAAAGTATTATTTTTAAAAGTTTTTTTTTTAAGTATTTATCTTTTAGTTGCAGTTGGACACAATATGTTTATTTTATTTATTTATATGTGGTGCTGAGGATCAAACCCAGGGCCTCACACGTGCTAGGCAAGTGCTCTACCTCCTGCTGAGCCACAACCCCAGTCCTAAAGCATTATTTTTAAATTTAAAAAAAATACTGATAAGTGGTAGACTAGAATCTAAAATTCATCTTCAAGGGAGCGTGCAGGTTAAAAGCATAGGTTAAGACCTGAATTTGGCTCATGCTAACCTCGTGACTTGAAGCAAGGTACTTAATCACTTAGTTTTCACATCTGCAAAATGAAGATGGTAAGAACTTACAAGTGTCTGGTACACATTAAATCTTTGATAGGTGTTGGCTATAATTTTTTTCCCCCATCTCCTAACTGATCTCCTTGCTTCTAGTCTTATTTACATCCAGACTGCCCTCAGAGTGCTCCTCTTCCCCATAGCTCCTGCGTAAAGCTGGGTCTGTAGCCAGACTGTTAACACAACACCCAGCTCTGCCCCAGCCCCATCCTGAC